GCCACAAGAACGCACAGCAGCTAAGTGCTGAAACTGAGGCAAACTGGCCCTGGGCAAGAGTACCCAGCAATTCATTTCCCAGTGAGGGTGCCCCGGCTCCGCCGACTGCACACTGCACCTAGTGCCAGATCTGGGGCAGACAGATCCTGGGAGAAGTCTGCCACAGAGTCAGACCAGATGCCAGGTAGCAACACAGCCACCTCAATTCCTACAGCCACAACACCCTGACACCCAGCCCCAGTCTACTGCACACCACAGCCTTGCACTACATCTGGGATGAACAAAACAGAAAGACACGACCATGGGCTGCTTGTGAGCAGATGCCTACTCAGGCAGTGCATGCATAGGTTCTCTGTGACCACACAGGCCTCACCTGATTTAGCAATCACTTCCTTTGGGGCAGGACATGAACTCAAGGGCAATGGAACCTGATTGAACTTGACCTCAGGGCTTCTACCCTAACAACTGGAGAGCAGACCCAGCCCTGGAGAGGGTGATGACAGCCACAGGGTAAAGAGGAAGCCCCACCTCACATCCAGAACAGGCTCAAGGCACCACAATGCAAATCACACCCCCTATCAAGGGGATAATGGCCACCACACTCTGAGGAAACACATGGCTGGCATCCATGCCAAAAACAGCCCTCACACCAAAAATATTGGACACACAGCCTACACAGGGATGCTCCCACATAAAAACAGCCCTTCAAGAGCGCAGGGGATAACTGTTTCTTCTAAATTCATAGAACAGAGAAAGTTAAGTAAAGAGCATAGGGATTAATCTTAGTTAAAAGAATAAGAGAAATCCCCTGAATAAACAAATAATGAAACAGACCTCACCAGTCTACTAGACCCTGAGTTCAAAATGGAGGTAATAAAAATGCTGAAGGAATTAAGAAAGATTACCAATATAAAGTCAAATCACTGTAATGAGGAACTAAAAAACTATAAAGATGAATCAATCAAAAATAGACAATTTAATTGCTGAGATAAAAAACAGTCTAGAAGCAATGAATAGCAGACTAAATGACACAGAAGAATGAATAAGTGATCTGGAAGATAGAATAATGGAAGTCACCCAATCCAGAACAGCAGACAGAAAGATACATTTAAAAAAATTAAAGTAACATACAGGATTTATGGGATAATATAAAACCTGCCAACCTATGCATAATAGGGTTTCCAGAAAGAGAAGGGAGAGAAAAGGGAATTGAAAATGTATTTGAAGAAATTATGGCTGAAAACTTCCCAAACCTAAAGAAGGAAACAGATATCCAGGTACAGGAAGCACAGAGGGCCCCAAACAAGATAACCCAAACAGACCAATACCAAGACATATCATAATTAAAATTCCAAAAGTTAAAGAGAGGATTCTAAAGGCAGCAAGAGAAAAACAGTTACAAGGGAACCCCCATAGGCAATTAGCTGATTTCTCTGTAGAAATTTTGCAGGTCAGAAAGGAAGGGCATGATATATTCAAAGTTCTGAGAGAAAAAACCCTGCAATCTAGGATACTCTACCCAGCAAGATTATCATTTAGAATAGAAGGAGAGAGAAAGAATTTCTTAGACAAGCAAAAACTAAAAGAATTCAACAATACTAAATCTACCCTGTAAGACATATTGAAGGGTCTTCTCTAAATAGACAAGAAGCAAGAATATATAGGAAAGGGAAAACCACAATAAGAAAGGCAAATACATAAAAGGATTGAAGATCACTTAAATGAGCCAGTAGATAGATTTTAAAAGTCAGAAAAATTTGTAAAAGCGATAACTACAAGTAACAGCAAAAGGATAAACATAAATATGTAAAATAGGACATTAAAATCACAAAACATGGGGGAGGGGAGTTTAAAATTTAGATATTTTAGAACATGAACTTGTATGACTATCAATTTAACACAAGTAGATATAGTTATGGGCCAACATACTTGAGCTCCACAGTTACCACAAATCAAAAACATATAGTAGGAACTTCCTTGGCAGCGCAGTGGTTAAGAATCTGCCTGCCAATGAAGGGGACACAGGTCAATCCCTGATCCGAGAGTATCCCACATGCCGTGGAGCAACTAAGCCCATGCGCCACAACTACTGAGCCTGCGCTCTAGAGCCCACGAACCACAACTACTGAGCCCATGTGCCTAGAGCCTGTGCTCCACAACAAGAGAATCCACTGCAATGAGAAGCCTGTGCACCACAATGAAGAGTAGCCCCTGCTCGCCACAACTAGAGAAAGCCGTGTGCAGCAATGAAGACCCAATGCAGCCATATATTAATTTTAAAAGTTCACTATTATTATCTGTCATCCATCCATCCATCCCTCTATTCACTCACTCACCATCCCTCCATCCATGTATCCATCCATCCTCCCTCTCTCCCTCCGTCCCTTAAAAAAAAATCAGAGGCAACAGAGGTCCTAAATGACATAATAGACCAGTTGGACTTAACAGATATCTGTAGGACATTACATCCAAAAACAGCAGAATACATGTTTTTTTCAAGAGCACTTGGAACATTCTCTAGGATAGACCACATACTAGGTCACAAAATAAGCCTCAACAAATTTAAAGAGGATAGAAATTATTTCAAGCACCTTTTCTGACCACAACAGTATGAAACTAGAAATCAACCACAGAAAGAAAAACAGGAAAATAATGAACTGATAGAGACTAAACAACATGCTACTAAAAAAACTAATGGGTCAACAATGAAATCAAAATACCTTCAGAGAAATGAAAATGAAAACACAACTTTACAAAATTTATGGGATATAGCAAAAGTAGTTATAAGAAGGAAGTTCAAAGAGATACAGGCCTTCCTCAAGAAACAAAAAAGTCTCAAACAACCTCCCTACCATGAAAAGAATTAGAAAAGTCAACAAAACCCAAAGTCAGTAGAAGGAAGGAAATAATAAAAATTAGGAAATAAATAAAATGGAGATCAGCAAAAATAGAAAAGATCAATAAAACCGGGAGCTGTTTTTTTTTAAAGATAAAATGAACAAACCTCTAGGCAGGCTCACCAAAAACAAAATAGAGAGGACATCAATAAACAAAATAGGAAATGAAAGAGGAGAAATAAATGATGTCATAGGAATACAAAAAAATCATAAGAGAATATTATGAACAGTCATATGCCAACAAATTGGGCACGATAGAAGAAATGGACAAGTTTCTAGAAACACAGAGCCTGCCAAAACCGAGTCAAGAAGAAACAGATAATTTGAACAAGACTGATGACTAGAAGTGAAATCATATCTAGAATAAAAAAAAAAAAAAAAAGAACCAACCTCCCTCTAAACAAAGGTCCAGGGCCAGATGGCTTCACTGAGGAATTCTACCAAACATACAAAGAAGAACTTATACCTATCCTTCTCAAACTCGTCCAAAAGACTGAAGAGGAGGGAACACTCCCAAATTCATTTTATGAAGCCACCATCACCCTGATACTAAAACCAAAGACACTACAAAAACGAAAATTTCAGGCCAATATCTTTGATATAGATGCAGAAATACTCAACAAAACATTAGCAAACCAAATCTAACAATACATAAGAAGGATCAGACACCATGATCAAGTTGGATCATTCTAGGATGGTTCAACATAACGCAAATCAATCAGTGTTATACACCACATTAACAAAAGGAAAGACATAAACCACATGATCATCTTAATAGATGCAGAAAATGCATTTGACAAAATTCAACATCCATTCATGATAAAAAAAAATATCTCTCATCAACGTGGGTATAGAGTGAAAATACTTCAACATGATGAAAATCATTTATGACAAACCCACAAGCAACAAAATACTCAACAGTAAAAAATGAAAGCCTTCCTGCTAAATTCAGGAACAAGACAAAGATGCCCACTGTCCCCACTTCTATTCAACATAGTATTCGAACTCATAGCCACAGCAATCAGACAAGAAAAAGAAGTAAAAGATATCCAAATTGGAAGAGAAGAGGTAAAATTGTCACTAGTTGCAGATGACATGATACTCTGTATACAGAACCCTAAAGACTCCACACCAAAACTATTATAACTAATAAATCAATTTAGCAAGGTAGCAGGATACAAGATTAATATACAGAAATTTGTTGCATTTCTTTACACTAACAGTGAAATATCAGAGTATGTAAAAAAAAATCCCTTTTAAAATTGCATCAAAAAGAAATACCTAGGAATAAACAACCAAGGAGGTTAGAGACCTATATGCTGAAAACTATAAAACTGAAGGAAAACTGAAAATGATTCAAAGAAATGGAAAGATACCCCATGCTCTTGGATTGGAAGAATTAATATTGTTAAAATGGTCACACTGGGGCTTCCCTGGTGGCACAGTCGTTAAGAATCCACCTGCCAATGCAGGGGACATGGGTTCGAGCCCTGGTTCAGGAAGATCCCACATGCCACGGAGCAACTAAGCCTGCGCTCTAGAGCCCATGAGCCACAACTACTGAAGCCTGCACACCTAGAGCCTGTGCTCTGCAACAAGAGAAGCCACCACGTTGAGAAGCCTGTGCACCACAACGAAGAGTAGCCCTCACTCACCACAACTAGAGAAAGCCCGTGTCCAGAAACAAAGACCCAACTCAGCCAAAAATTGTCGGGAACCAGCTGCAAGCTGACACAGTTCTTGCAGCTTAAAGCATGGCAAAGTCCTGCTTAATCATTGACAGGACCCGAAAGAGTTATTAGAGAAGATGTGAGTCTTGGCCCATGAGGTTGCTTGCAGTTTCTCTAACTATAGTTTTTCCTTGGCATGCTTTGGTAGTCACAGTCTGTTCTCATGCATGTTTATATCCTGGTTTGCAGAATGTTTTGTACTATAACTTCAACACTAAGGAAATACTGTCTGATGATTCAGTTTGGTGATTTTAACAAAAAACATGTATTGTCTACTGCAGTATATAAAGAGGTTTGATGAGAAATAAAGTGTGTGTGTTTATACACCACCCTCCTGACCCTATCTCTTCTTAATCCCCTCACCTGCTCTCAGGACTTGTTCCTCAGTCTTACAGTGACTGACAAGTGGCGCCCGAACAGTGACCTGAGTACATGGGCTGTTGAGAGGGACCCCGGAAATATTTCACACGCAGACATATACAGGGTAAGTTGGATTGTACCGGGGGATATTTTAGATGTAGCCTTTCTTTCTGTTTTGTTCTCATCAGGAGTAAAAATGGGGCAAACTGGATTTAAGGAACGACAACTTTTCGTTCAGCTACTGTACTCTATGTTATCTGCTCAGGGTGTTAAGGTTACACATAAACAGCTTGATCATTTTCTTCATTTTGTGCAGGAAATTTGTCCATGGTTCCCAGAGGGAGGAACTGTTAATATTCAAACATGGGAAAAAATAGGTCAACAATTGAAAACTTTCTATTCCCTTCATGGACCTTCTAAGGTTCCTGTAGATACTTTTTCACTTTGGAATTTGATAAGAGATTGTCTTGACCCAACTCATGAGCTTCAGAAATTATTCAAAGCAGCGTCTTTACGCTGCTTCCCTTCTGCTCCTCAGTTACAAAATTCGCCTGAGGAACCTGTTTCTCCTACTGCACCTCCCTTGTTGGCGACCATGCCATCTTCAGAGTCCCTGGAGGAGGTTGATGAACTATCCCCAGAGGATGAGACTGAATTGGAGGAAGAGGCTGCACGATCCTGATTTTGATGATGGCATTTTTGCAGCTCTTAAGAATGTGCCTGCAGAATCTGAAAACTTTCCTATATTAGATAAAACTTCATTTACTGCTTTAGCCCAAGCTTTAACTTGGGTAAAACATTTACATGATGTTACTCAAGATGCTTCCCTAGCCCCTGTTGCACATTCTTCTGGCTCTTCCTTGCCAGCAAAATCTCCTGATGAGTCCCCTTCAGTAAATCAGGGGTCTATTTCTGTTTCTTCTACTTCCTCTCTGCCTGTGAGTCTTCCTTCTCCACTCCAAACTGCTTTATTTCAAGCTTCTAAGCAGGGGGAAGATATATCTTCTTTGGGGTTTAAAATAAAGAAGGGGGAATATACCACAACCCCGCACAATTTATTGCGACATTCTTTATATACTTTAAATTTTTTGAACGTAGATAAGCAAGGACAGACAGCTGCCGAAGGATTTTGGCATCCTCGTGCCTTGCCTTTTGCTGAAGTCCGTTGGCAGGATCCTCTTACTAATCAATGGAATGGTCCAGGATCCTATACTAATATGGGGATGAGGGCATGTTTGTATGTTTCCTAGGGACACTAAGGATCCTCATTGGATACCTGAGCACCTCATGAGATTCTGTGGATCCAGACCAGATGGATGGTGAATTCCCTCCCCTGCAATATGGATCCAGACCGGATGGTGAACTCTCTCCCCCACCATATGAAGAGAATGCGGCTCGACGACACTTCCAATCCTCCTGAGAAACCAGCTCTCCAAGCTCATCAGTGTTGTCTCTCCTGCGCCACGTGGATGGCCAACCCTCCAACATGGGGCCAATTGAAACAACTGACCCAGAAGGCAGAGGAGATGTTGATGCAGCAGCAAGTGACTAAGTCCCCACAAACGTTGTTTGTGGCTATGTTGGCTATTATCTCTTGTCAGGTAGTTTTGGGTAATACTGATAATTATTGGGCATATGTCCCTGATCCTCCATTACTTCGCCCCGTAGAATGAAATGATCCCTCAATTCCTGTTTATGTTAACGATACTTCCCTTCTTGGCTATCCAAGCAGTGATTTTATTACCCCTCTCACTGTAACTTGTTTTTCATTTACTGCCTTTTCTTTGCGTGCCCCTGTTTTTCCATTCCTGCATTTTGGTATAACCAACACAAACAATACTGGCATGGATGTCTTTCGGTAGGACCCAGGCCTTCTTATACATATCAGTTCCAGTATTGGAATGAAACATGATCTCACAGGGAGTGGATTTTGAATATTATGAGGCTCTCCACTTCTTATTTTAAGGCTACAGAGGATCCTCCTAAGGACTTGCCTCCCTGCATTCAACAAATATTGTCCCCCTTTTCTAACCCCTCAGAACGTTTATGGTCATATCCTCCGTGGCATTGATGCCAATATTCTACACCAGTGTGGCATCGAATTCCTCATACTACTGCAGCTGTTTTGGACTGGTGTTTTCCTCAACCTTTTGCTGAACTTCTTATTAATAAGATTGAATCTCCAGGGGGATAGGTGGAGGGTGTCCTCTCCACCAATTTAGGAAATGTACAAAATAATATCTGGAAGTTGATGGCTGCTGTGGGGCCTGTTGTCCTTTCACATCAACAACATCCTGTTAGGAACTTAACCGCTTTTGTTATGGCTTGTGTTCCATCACCCTATGCTATTCTTACTGGTTCTCTCTACGTTTTTCAAAAAGAAGGGTTTTATGACATACGTTGTGATAATTGTAATTTGACAAATTGTATAAGCATGGGGGAACCAAACCTGGGATTTCTTCTTGTTCATCAGCCTCCCTTTGTTATGCTCCCTGTAAATGTTACAGGTCCTTGGTATTCTAATTCAGGTTTGCAGGTCATGCATGAACTTTCCCTTCTTTTACAATGGCCCAAGCGATTTTGGGGGTTACTTATAGCTGGAATTACAGTGCTCATTGCAGTCATTGCTTCTGTAGCTGCTTCTGATACTGCGCTGACTCAAAGTATTCATACTGCCACATTTGTGAATAATTTAGCTGCTAATGTCTCTAATGCTTTGGGAACTCAAGAAACTATTGATAGAAAATTAGAAAGTCATGTTAATGCATTGGAAGAAGTTGTTCTTATTCTTGGAGACCAATTAGCTGCTTTAAAAACTGCCTGTTCTATGCGTTGTCATGCAGAATTTTCTGCAATCTGTTAAGCCATATAACAGTGGCCTTGGCCTCAGATTAAGAATCATTTATTGGGAATTTGGTCTCATTCCAATCTATCCCTTGATATTGCTCCCTTACATGGGGATATTACAAATATCCAGCATGCAGCTCCCCTAGATGTAAATCCAGTGGAAATTGCTTGAGATATATTTACCCAGATTACACGTACTTTTGCCCCAAGTTCTCTTATTAACCTCCTTTATTCTATAATTGTTATTGGTATTTTAATATTATTGTGTATTTGTTGTTTTCCAGTCCTCCTGTGAATTGGCTTATGAGCAATTGCAGAACTCCAAGTTGGACTCTACTACCTCACATTAAAAAATAAGGAAGGGGGACATGTCGGGAACCAGCTGCAAGCTGACACAGTTCTTGCAGCTTAAAGCATGGCAAAGTCCTGCTTAATCATTGACAGGACACGAAAGAGTTATTAGAGAAGATATGAGTCTTGGCCCGTGAAGTTGCTTGCAGTTTTTCTAACTATAGTTTGTCCTTGGCATGCTTTGGTAGTCACAGTCTGTTCTCATGCATGTTTATATCCTGGTTCGCAGAATGTTTTGTACTATAACTTCAACACTAAGGAAATGCTGTCTGATGATTCAGTTTGGTGATTTTAACAAAAACATGTTTTGTCTACTGCAATATATAAAGAGGTTTGATGAGAAATAAAGTGTGTGTTTATACACCACCCTCCTGACCCTGTCTCTTCTTAATCCCCTCACCTGCTCTCAGGACTTGTTCCTCAGTCTTACAGCGACTGACAAAAAATAAAGAAATGAAGGGAGGGAGGGAGGGAGGAAGGAATTTATATATATATAAAAAGAAATAGCCATACTACCCAAAGCAATCTACAGATTTAGTGTGATTCCTATCAAAACACCCATGATGTTTTTCACAGACTAGAAAACATAATCCTAAAATTTATATGGAGTCACAGAAGACCCAGAATTGCCAAAGCCATCCTGAGGAAAAAAGATCAAAGGTGGTGGCATAACCCGTCCAGACCTCAGAACTACAAAGCTACAGTAATCATAACAACATGTTATTGACATAAAAACAGACATATAGATCAATGTAAAAGAATAGAGAACCCAGAGTAAACCCAGACACCTACAGTCAATGAATCTACAAGAAAGGAGGCAAGAATACACAATGAAAAGACAATCTCTTCAATAAGTGCTGTTGGGATAGTTGGACAGCTACATGCAAATCAATGAAATTAAAACATACCATATACAAAAGTTAACTAAAAATTGTTTAAAGACCTAAATTTAAGACATGACACCATAAAACTCCCAGAAGAGAACACAGTCAAAGAGCATTCTTGGGCATAAATCACAGCAATATTTTCTTAGATCAGTTTCCCAAGACAAAACAAATAAAAACAAAAATAAACGGACCTAATCAAACTTTAAAACTCTTGCACAGCAGAGGAAACTATCAACAAAACATAAAGACAACCTACTGAATGGGAGAAAGTATTTGCAAACAATGCAAACCAACAAGGGGTTAATATTCAAAATATACAAACAGCTGATACAACTCAATATTAAAAAACAACATAATTTAAAAATGAGCAGAAGACCTAAATAGACATTACTCTAAAGAAGACATACAGATGGTCAACAGGCACATGAAAACATGCTTAACATTGCTAATTATTAGAGAAATGCAAATCAAAACCACAATGAGGTATCACCTCACATTATTCAGAATGGCCATCACCAAAACTATAAATAATAAATGCCAGAGAGTGTGTGGAGAAAAGGGAACCCTCCTACACTGTTGGTGGGAATGTAAATTGGTGCAGCCACTATGCAAAACAGTATGGAGTTTCCTTAAAAAACAAAAAATAGAGCTACCATGTAATCTGGCAACCCCACTTCTTGGTAAATATTTGGAAAAAATGAAAACTCTAATTCCAAAAGATACATGTGCCTCAGTGTTCATGTAGCAGCACTATTTACAATAGCCAAGACATGGAAACAACCCAAATGCCCGACTGGCTTAAGAAGACATGATATGTGTGTGTGTGTGTGTGTGTAATGGAATATTAGTCATAAAAAAGAATGAAATATTGCCATTTGCAGCAACATGGATGGACCTAAGGAATATTATACTTAGTGAAGCAAGTCAGACAGACAAATATATATCACTTATATGTGAAATCTAAAAAACAATACAAATGAATATACAAAAGAGAAATGGATTCACAGGTACAGAAAACAAACTTATGGTTACCAAATGAAAAGGGGAGGGGGGAAGGATAAATTAGGCCTATGGGAGTAACAAACTACTATACATAAAATAGATAAGCAATAAGGATTTACTGTATAGCACAGGAGATTGTATTCAATATCTTATAATAATATATAATTGAAAATAATATGAAAAAATATATATGTAACTCACTTTTCTGTACGCCTGAAATGAACACAATATTGTAAATCAACTATATTTCAATTTTTAAAGGTTTAAAAGTTAGTTGTAATCTTTAAAGATATAAAAATATCCACTAGAGGAACTAAAAAAGTGATCTTGTGTAGATAGATTAAAACACAAAATGGGTTTTAGGTCTAAATTGTTACAAGACAAAGAGGAAATTATCTATTGATAAAGGTGTCAATGCATTTAGAAGATAAACGTACTTGCACTCAACATCAGAGCCTCAAAATATATGTAGTAAACATGTACAGAATTGTTGGGAGAAATAGTTCTACAATACTTGGGGACTTAAGTACCTTATTTTCAATAATGAAAAGTATATCTAGATAGAAGATCAATAAGTAAGTGGACTTGGACAACACAAAAACCAACTAGCCCTAACAGACATATTTGGAACATTCCACCCAACAACAGCAGATACACATTTTTCTGAAGTGCACATGGAACATTCTCCAGGATCATAAAGTAATTCTCATTTTAAACAACTGAAAGCATACCAAGTATCTAACTAATATGAAACAAGGTTAGAAGTCAATATTAGAAGGAAAATTGAAAAATTTGCAAATATGTGGGAATTAAACAACATACTCTTTAAATGACCGATTGGTCAAAGAAGAAATCACTGGTGAAATTAGCAAATACTATGAGATGAAGGAAAATAAAAACACAACATACCAAAACTTATGAGATTCAATGAAAGCAGTTCCCAGAGGGAAATGTACAGCTATAAATACCTATATTAAAAAGGAAGAAAATCTTAACCTAACTTTACATCTTAAGGAACTAGAAAAGAGGAGCACACTAAACCCAAAACCAGCAGAAGGAAGAAAATATGGACAAAAGCAGATACAAAGAATAAATGAAACTTAAAAATAGAATCAGTGAAACCAGAAGTTGGTTATTTGAATAGATCAAAATTGACAAACCTTTAGATTTGTCTAAAAGTGGGGACATTACAAACCTTACAGAAATTTAAAGAATTATAAAAGAATACTACAAATAATTGTACACCAACAAATTAAATAATGTAGATAAAATGCAAAATCTCTAGACACAAATTACTGAAATTGACTCAATAAGAAATTGAGAATTGCAACAGACCTGTAACAGGTAAGGAGGTTGAATCAGTAGTTCA